CCATTTCTGTTTCTTCTCACTCTTTTCCTGTTTGTCACCTCCAAACTGCATGCTAAAGGCATGATTGACACACACTAGCTTCCTCTTTGTGTTGTAAACTACAGAACATATTTGTGTAAAATTTTTGTCCAATATTCAACAAAGATACATTTACCAGTTACTAAACTAGAAATTAGATCACACCATGCATATTTCTTCAAGCAACTGTCTCTATACATAGAATCTTATGTTAGACTGGATTGAGATAAAAAAAAATGGATTGTAATGTAGCATAATGAATGGCCACTGTAGCAAAAGGATGGTCTTGAATGAACCCTCCAGGAGGAATCTAAACTGCTTGACGTTTAGTTGATGATATTTAACCAAACACTGAATATGGCAAATGTAGCTGGGGAGGTCAGGCACACACTTGAAGCAAGTTCGTACAGAGGTAGGAAATCTGGAAAGGTCAGATGCACATTTCAGCATGTGTGAGGAGTACTGTATGGTAGGAAATCAGGCTAGCCTACTGTGGCCAGTGAGTTGGTGGCCTGTCTTGTCTTTATTTTTTCCAACTATTTTTAATTTGAATTAGAAACAGGATTGTTTTACATAACAATCCCATTTCCCTCTCCCACCCATCCTCCCCTACCCGCCCCCACCCTGGATGGTGAGTCCTTCCATAGGGTGTCGTCAGAGTCTTTCATATCCTTTGGGATAGGGGCTAGGCCCACCCCCGTGTGACTTGGCTCAGGGAGTATTCCTCTATATGGAATGGGCTCCCAAAGTCTACACCTATGCTAGGGATAAATACTGGGTTTCTATAGGAGGTCCCATAGATTTCTGAGGAATCCTCACAGAAACCCATGTTCCTTGGGTCTGGATCAGTCCCATGCTGGTATTCCAGCTATCAGACTGGGGAGCAAAAGTTCCTGGATGTTCAGGTCAGCTGTTTCTGTGGGTTTCACCAGTGTGGTCTGGACCTCTGTGCTCTTCACTGGTCCTTCTCTGCATCTGGGTTCCAGTTCAGATCAGTGATTAGTTATAGGTGTCTGCTTCTACTTCCACCAGCTGCTAGATGAAGGCATATAAGTCAGTCATCAATCTTATAATCAAGGGAGGGCATTTAAGGTAGCCTCTTCTCCATTGCAGAGATAGTTAGCTGGTGTCATCTTTGTAGATATCCAGACATTACCCTAGTGCCTGATTTCTCTGTAAACCAAAAATGTCTCCCTCTATTATGATATCTCCATTCTTGTTATCGTGTATTCTTCCCCTGACGCATATTTTCTGCTCCCTCATGTCCTCGGCATCCCTCTTCTTCTCCCCTTCTCATTCTC